GAGTTAAAAGCAGACGATTGTAGGAAGTTTTGTTAATAATTCATTGATGAATGAGAATATCGAACATCACATGCAATATATTGACCTCAAAAATATAGAAGGCAGACAGAAGATTATGTGATAAAGATATAAATAGCGTGAGACAAGCGGGAAGCAGCAGCCAGACAGATTCACACAAACTTAACAGGGAATTTATTGTTTGAAGTGCATTGGTTTGTTAATAATCTTGAAAACTTTAATTTAAGTAAAGTAAGCAGTTTTTAGGAAATCTTCCATATGTGTGTATAGCAGATTGAAATGTCAATTTTTTCTTTTTCTATTCCTCTATTTTTCTATTCACAATAACTTACATCGAAATATAAATCAAACACAAAGCACGGTTTTATGCCCTTCTCTTACACAACAGTTTCTAGTCACATATTCCCAGAAAATTCTATTTTAGTTTTCAATTGGCCAAAGAGGTTTTAATGAAGGCTTTCAGATATAGTACACTCAAGAAAGTTTTAGTACTGATTACAATACATGAATGAATGAGTTCACAAAGAAAGCATTTATTTTTTGTGAAAATGTACACTGTCATAATATAGTATAGGGAAATTTCATTGTGTAACTAATGTTTCATTTCAAAGCAGCTAGCTGAAACTTAAAATTTTTTGTTACAGCACTAACCTTTAGTTGGTAGAAAGACAAGAAAACAGACAGGTTTGAAGGGATGGAGCCAATTTCCACTCCAAAATCTGGTTAGCTTCACCTAGTTACTTTACCTAGTTTCTTTGTACTTCTAATATGACTATTTATTCAGTTTTCAAAGTTTACAAAACAGTCTGGTGGGTTAAAAACCATGTCTACATATAACTGCTAATACAATTCTAGAATAAAAAATTATTTAACCCAACATACTGACAAAGGTTTTTTTAAGGTTTCAAAGATGACACTGTGAACCCTTGAAAAGGGTTACATGTTAAAATATCAAGCTCACGTATGTAATATAATGAGCTTTTGATATAGACATATGCCAAAAATTTTAATTTTAAATAAATATTATTTTCTGGAGTATTGTACTAGTTGTTATTTAATACTAGTTTCAGTAAACTTATCTTTTTAGTATTATGGTAATTCTACTTCTCTTAACATTTTTTAACATCGTGTATCTTTACTACGAACAAGTTTACCATCTTAGTTTACTTTTCATCATGTCTGAAAGATAATATATAATTTTATGGTCACCTTCACTTGAAACCAAGCATCTTGAGTACAGTATCGAACATCACATGCCGCAATAAGATCCACACCACTTCCAATACATCCACCATGAATAGCTGAAATCACAGGCTTTTGGCACTGTAAATCAAATACCAATTGAGGATTATAGCACATAAAAATAATATCCACAATTAAATGTAGAATGTTTATGGTTAGAACAAAATTTATATATAAAATATAGTTTATGAAACTTTTAATTCTGTGTTTTTAAAGGTATAGATGTGCAACAGACTGTAAAATGAGTACAATTTTATTTTGACTTTCAAGCAGTACTTGCCTTTAAAAGTTAAGAATTTTATTCTCATGTTTCCAACAATAATAGTAATGTTCTAGTTGATGATGTTAACAACTGAGAAAACAAAACAAAACACACAAAATATAAAATGGTGAAAAAAAATCTACATTCATGGCTTTACACTTGTGGAAAATCTTACCAAAACACAATTTAAATACCTTTTCCAGAGCATTAAAAGATTCCTGGTACAGAGCAATTAGAGACTGTAAGTACTTGGCTCTCCTGGCTACATCTGATTTTTTTGTAACCTGTGATGTTATTAAATCTGTCATATCTCCAATGTCCAATCCTAAAATAATATAAAGAAGACATTAACCAAAACTTCATCACAAATATTTTACAGAGCCTTTTTTTTTTTCAAGAGGCATCTTTATTTTTTTGAGTTACTTTTAACTTTGCCTATGGTTTCCTTATCAATGGCTGTTACTATGTTTTTTTTATTACTGTTTTGACTTGTTAAATGTACATGTCTATTAGAACCTAAATGTGATATTTTTATCCTTTACTCCCAGGAAAATCACTGACTATGCTTTTCTTTCTATAAATACAAAACTTATTTTAGAGTTAAGATTGAATTATTTTTAGCACACATTCCAAAATCGGCTACAGCTGCTAGTAAAGTTAAAGAAAAACAACAAAGGATAAACAAGTAAATGACATCTTGAGAACTTAAATCTTTAGATAACACGCACCTTAAGACAGTTAATAATTCACTAGAAAAACTTACAGGCAATATGTTATTTGGAATCAAGCCAAATTAATTACAAGGCTAATACTGCCCATTTAAGGGATTGTTAAATAGCCTGCATGTCCGAACTGAAAAAAAAACACACTTCACCGGTTCCAGTGTTACCAGGCTTATAAAATTTTGGATACGACATGCAACTCATGTTTAGCATTTATTAAATTAATAATACTGATAGAAAAGTTACTGAGTTTGCATTTTCCTTCATGTAATAATTCATAAAATGTTAGTTGGTTCTTGTTTTCAGTAGTAAAAATCAAAGGATTATCCACAAAGATTTTCTTAAAACTTGAAACATTTATTTGTACAGCATGTCATTAAATTTCATCCCACTCTTTCTATTGGGCACATATTAATACAACAGAGCCAATATTATAACATTAAAGTACAGTTTGTGAGTTAAGCTATACTTAAATAGCTTTGAGTTTCTTATTAAATAATAAGGCATCTAACAAAGAATCATTTATGTGCAAGCTCAACATTCATCATCAAGAGATTCTCTTACAAAATACTTTATGGAGTATAGCATCAAGAAGCATATCATGTCAACCAGTTACTGTCTAATGTTCCCTTTCTGCATTTTCATTGCATTTATCATTAACTTCTGATCAAAGCAAGCTACCTATAGAGATCATAAAACTAAATCCAATAATGAATACAGCTATCTTAATACACTATTCTTACTTATAGTAATTACAGAGACTTGATTCAGTTGTTTGGTACCTCACTGTCTGCACTTTTTGGCTTTAATCAAATAATATCTCATGACTAACTAACCTGTGGGCCTATGCGCCACATTTACAGAGCCACTATAATTCAAATTTAATTTCTTTAACCAAGTTATAAGTGGTAATTAGTAGGTCTACTTGTTTACATGCTCTAACATAAATTAATGTCAAATTTGGGGTTTGCTTCTGGGGACTTCCCATAGAAGTGTTTCTGGGAAATATCCGGGTTTCCTAAAAGGTTGGGTGAAATGTTTTACCTTTGTGCAAACCTCAGGACCGAGAAATATGTTTGGTACTACTTAGAAGTCGGTGTGACCAGCAGTTTAGGAGGAGTTACATAACACACTCACAGACAATCTTGAACTACCATTTTGCACTTTTTTTCAGTTTAATCATCAATGCCACTATAATGCATGTTTAATTTATTTAACCAAGTTAGGAATGGTAATTAGTAAGCCTACTTTTTATGTGCTCTAATGTAAATTAAATGCCAAATTTGGGGTCCACTTTTGGAGAATACCCATAGAAGTATTTTTGTAAAACACCTGGATTCACTAAGGGGTTGAGTAAAAACCTTTACTTTTTTTGCAAACCTCAGAACAAGGTAATTTGTTTGGCATCATTTAGAAGTTGGTGAGTCCAGTAGTTTCAGAGAAGGGGGTTTGGAGCAGAAATTACCAGGTTCCTCAAGTGATGGGGGTGAAAAATGTTTCTTATGTTAAAACATTGGGACCAGGACGATTTGTTTGTTACCACTTAAAAGTTGGTGTGATCAGCAGTTTAGGAGGAGTTACATAACACACACACACACACACACACACTTTAGGAAATTTGGATAAGTACTAAATTCATATACTAAGTTAACAATTCAAAATAATCCTCATAATAAAAACAAAAATATGAAAGTAATAAAAGATAATAACATACTGTATACATATTAAGTGATTTAGCCAATACTCTTAATTTTAACATCCTAACTTCTACATTTGCTGAGATATCAATATATTTTCCCAACCCACAACAGAAGCCCTGCTCATCTATCCTTAACTTTCAAAGCATTTGTCAAAACCACATGTTCTTATTTGATGTATTTGTTTGTAGCCAACAGCAAGAGCTTATTTCTTCTAGTTCAAACTTGCAAATTTACTCTGGGGTTTAAATTCAGAATTCTAATATAGCTTCAACATTCTGAGGGCTTGGACAAATGGACTTATTAGTGTTCAAAGGGTTAATGCAACTAATATGATGAAAAAAATATAATATAACTTACCCAACACATAAAAACTAGTTGTTTGCATCAGTCACACACACACACACACACACTAACAAAATTCCCTGTCCCTTGAAAAGCATCCTAGTATGTGCAAAATATAAAACTCCCTAACAACATCTAGCAACTAATGAATAGTCCATTAAACAGCTCCAACATTGTAAATTTAAACAAGTTTAACATCTGAGATGAAATAGTAAAACATGTTACTGTTTAATGATACAGTCAGATAGCATGACAATACAGATAGTATGACAAAATAATAACGTTTATGAAGTTCAAAAACAATAATAATAATGAATAACACATTCAAATAATTATAAAATAATACAATAAGATGTAAATATAAAAAAAATAATTAAAAATAACAAAGTTTAATGCAATAAAAGGAAATATTATTTACTAAACATACTATGAACTGTTCCTAACATAACTGTTCCAACTTTAACCATCTCTTACATACAGAGGAAGGTCTTTTTTACATTTAATTTTTATAAGATGTATTTTAATTCATTTGTGTAAAGCCATGCCTGAAAAGATGGTATGTTATAACCCAGTTACTTGCTTTGCATAAAATGACAAAATACCTGCTGAAAACATTCTTCCTGCTCCTGATAAGATCACAACCCTGATGTCTGTGTCATCAGAGATTTCTCTGAAACAGTCCAGAATCTCCCTGAAATGTAAGCAGATTAACTCTTAGGATCACTGCAGGATTTTAGGACTAATTTGATTTCAACTGAAAACTTCAACACTGCCTTTTGAATGACTCATTATAGATAGATTATTTGGGTGGTTTTTATTTACAGGTAAAATTTCAGATTAAAAATCCTGAAGCTCTCAACCCCTAATTTTGTTCCATTGTACAAAAAAAACAACAAAAACAATGTCAAACATCATCTATTTAGACCATATTTAGAGGCTACTAAGTGAAGTTAAGTTCTAGACTATAGTGGCCTGGAACTGTTTTTACTATGTT